ACTTTGCTTGGCCCTGGAAAACGGGCCCCACCAAGTCCCCCGAAAAGTGGCTTTTTCCTGAGTTTGCCAAAGGAAACTTGACACTTGGTGGGGTCTGTTTTCCGGGGCGAACCCAAGTGGAAAATTGGCACTGCGCTGGTTTCCCCCCATTTTCTTTCTCAACATCAAGCTGCCTTTTTGGGCATAGATGGCGCAACTCCCACTCATTCGCCAAAATCAGGCTGGGAATGCCCACATAGATGGCGCAACTCCCTCATATCTCCCGACATCCATCAACCAACCTAACCAAAATATGCCACATCGATCAGAGTTATCCCCAGGCAGAAGGCAAAACCACCAGGAAAGACATCAGAGTTGTCCCCAGACAGGAGGCAAAACCACCAGGAAAGACATCAGAGTTGTCCCTTTTTGGGACATAGATGGCGCAACTTCCGTCATTTTGCCAGCAAAGGTCGAGACGCTTTAAAACCAAATTTTAACAAGTGACCTGAGGAACCGTTTCTTGACGGCAAGAACGGTTCCTCAGGTCACTTGTTAAAGTTGGGTTTTAAAGCGTCTCGGCCTTTGCTGGCTCAAAACAACTTCCGTCATTTCGCCAAAATCAGGCTGGGAATGCCCACATAGATGGCGCAACCCCGGGAGTTGCGCCATCTATGTCCCAAAAAAAGCAGCTTGATGTTGAGAAAAAAAAATGGGGAGAAACCAGCGCAGAAGATTGCAAACAATATGTCATTTTTAGGGACATAGATGGCTCAACTGCCCTGTTTTAAAGGGAGTTGAGCCATCTATCCCCCATTTTTTTTTTTTGACATAGATGGCGCAACTCAAGATTCTGAGCCATCTACTTTTACCCTAGAGTATATATATATATATATAGATCAAATTAATTCAAATTACTCATGCACAGCTTAAAGCCATGCACAAACATGCGCTGAACGGTCTATACAATCCAATCTTTCCCACTCCAAGAAGTTTGCTCACTCTTCACCATCTGAACCCTTGAGTTTGTCAAATGAAGAACAACAACAACAACAACAACAACGACAACGACAACGACAACGACAACAACAACCACGACGACAACGACGACAACGACAACGACAACCACAACCACAACCACAACCACAACAACAACAACAACAACAACAACACCAGCAGCAGCAGCAGCAGCAGCAGCAGCAGCAGCAGCAGCAGCCGCAGCCGCAGCCGCAGCCGCAGCCGCGCGCAGCGGCGGCGGCGGCAGCGGCGGCGCAGCAGCAGCAGCAGCAGCAACCACAACCACAACCACAACCACAACCACAACTACAACCACAACCACAACCAACACCAACACCTACATCAACACCTACATCAACGTCAACACCTACACAGACTCCCTGAACATGGCCCCCTGTTCAGATGGTTATGTCCATTCCCAACTGATTCCAGCTGGCACCTCAGGCAACCCCTCTGCCATGGTGCTGCTAATCTGCGCCATCCTGCAGAACATCGCGGCATGTGCTGCCAATTTCAGCACTCCCAACCAGCCAACCGAGCCACCAAATCACCACCTTAAAAGTATCAACCCAAAACCAACTACAAGCCAAGCCAATCTGCTCCAACCATCCAAACCCCAAGTCGATCTCAACCTGCTCCACCCCATCGCTGAGGCAAGCGCCTCAGCCGCAGCTTCTTCTCCGCCAACGTTCGCATGGAGGGCGACAGCCGCTGGAGCTGGGCCTGAAACGCCGCAAGGCTCATGGGAGGCGGCCTCCAGCAGCTGACGGCTGGATCTGGGAACCTTGGTTTCAACCTGAAATATCAAGCAGTCACTGAAAAATCATCATCCAATGGATGGAAATCAAAGATACTTCAAACCACCAAGCAGCTCTTCCTCATCTTTTGGGTATATCATGTGTATCATGTAAAAAGCATTGCTGCGGAGTAACATCTGATTTGGTGGCTTTCCGTCCTATCCAATTAAAACGTAGCATTGGCCAGTTGGATAAAATCCTCAAAAAAATGGTGTGGATAAAAAATGATAGATCCTGATGTTCGGCCAGTAAACTGCGTCTGTTGACCATGATTTTGCAAGAAAAAGAGAGTCATGCGGGTTTAATGGTTGACGAACAAGTGGGAAAAATATGCAAATATCGATCATGTGCATCCTGTAAGACTCCAAGTTATCTGATAATGTAGTTTCTAGCTTTTGTATGCTTTTGTACCATCCTAAAGAATTATCCTATTAATTAATGGCTGTTTGGCTTCCCATGATAGCCCATCTTAAACACCAAGCTACTGTAGCGGCCGCGCATTGTGTCCCGGCATCCCTGCAGGAGCTTTGAAGCTTCCCTGGTGGCAGGATGATGGCCCTCTGGGTGCATCAAACTGCAGAACCCAGAGATTTGATGTTTTTTTGCAATATGATGTTACTAATCCTGCAGTTTTTGCAGGGAGAAGATCCAATTTCTGTCGCTTGGATTGAATTTTCAAAATGAACAGCTTGTCATTCTTACTAATTACTATCTCTAATCATTGTTCGACCATCCAACTTGTTCGGATGCCCAACCGAACCCAGACCCACCTGAAATATCACGTCGTCATCGCTGTCGCTGATCTCTGCCACACCTACACAGCTGTGATTGGGACAAGTGAGAACTGCAACCCATGAACCCCCATCCCATGGTCTAGAAATGTCTAGAACAAATAGCTTAGACCACTATATAGAAATTGTATGATATCTTCCCATATCCTATGTATAGAACATATATAACTATATAACTATATAAAATGAAGTTATGTTATGTCTTCCCAGTTGAAATTACCATCACCATAACTGTGACAACTTAGGGCATTCCCCATTGGGAGAGAACTCGGCTCCACAAACAACAGGCAGAACTGTTGGTTTCTTCAAATATCGAAAGGCTATAGCTGTTGGACATCCATATGGGTGTTGTCTGAAAATCAACTACCCCAAAAAAATGATGGTTTATCAGAGCGTATCATGTTTTTTCTTCAATGAAATAGCCATATCTTGGGGGTAACTTTTGGGACAGACCTGTTGGGCCTATTGGCCAATTGGTACTGAACGTAGGATTTTCACACCTCCAGCCCCTGCTTTCCTTGGCTTCCCAGCTCTCTGCGGGCCACGTGCTGCCAGCATGTGACGTCGGCGTCGGTGGCACTGCCGTTTCCGGCGTCATTGGCTCGGCATCCGTGAGTCCTTTCTTGAAGTCCTGCGGCAAGAGGCGAAGGTCCAACGAAATCGGCTTTCGAATTGGGATCCAACCATATCCAACCTTTCATGACTGGGATAAAATGGCCAATGGAAATGATAGAGGGGAGGAGTATACTACCCAACCATTGGTTCCAACCCAGACGAGACCATCAACCTGCAGCTTTTGGAAGCCCAAATGATCTGATGGCAAGGCAAACCGGGACACTACCAGGTGCAACAGCATTCAGCTCTTATTCATGCAGGCTCACCATGGTTCCCTTTGGCAATCTAACCTGGCTAAAAATCTCCCCATGAAAATACCATCTACAGTAATTAGATGTTTTTTCCCGTGAAGAATTGGTGTTTGTCCATACCCACTCATAGTAAGGTTCAGAATTCAAGACCTTGGTTTCTCATTTAAATAGACATCACTTGGGGATCCCCGACGGTTCTGATCCTCCTGCACACAGGAAGGGGTCCATCTTTCCGTCAGCTGCGACATCTGGCGATGTCCACTACCTGAAGGTCCAAATGAAGGACAGTCGATGGTGGAAGATTACCACGGAATTCCAGAAAATGGTTCCGAAGATATCGGAAGATGATTTTCCCTTAGAAATTGCCATGTTTGTGTTCGATGTATGTTTTCTTTCTAGGCTGACTAGCTTGATTTCAGAAGAATCGACAGGAAACCCATGACTTTTGCCATCAAATATGGGAAACCTTGGAAAATGTTCCCTGAAACCATATCTGGAGATAGAGTCATCAACTGCAACAAAAATTGAACTTTGGGATTCTTTGGGTATAAGTATATAATTATATATATATGTGCGTGTGCGTGTTTCGTTTTCTAATACGGTATAAGCAAACGAAAATGAGTAGGTATACCTGGAATAGAACAAAAAAGAAGTAAGGATTCAATCTGTAATTTTAGACCAAGAGGAATGGAACTAGACGTGGATACGATCAAAGGGAAATCCCGTGAACTCTTCGCTTAGCTTCGGACCGGCAAGGCCGGCAGGCGCAGCGCTTACGGTTCAAGTGGCTAAACCCCTTCGAGCCGGGAAGCCAGGCAGAACCCGTGGTCACCATGGGTGATGAAGGTCCCCATCAAACAACTAACCAAACAGAAGTGATCCACACAGCTGAGGTTTTTCGGTGTTTCAACCGAAGACACCCTGCGGCAATCTCAGTTTTCCCTCACACTGATAGTGGACACTGGAAAGATGTGTCAGATATGCAAAGACCATTTCACTTGGAAAGTCCTTGGTCCCCATCGCCATGACCCAGCCGTGCTAACAGTTGCAGGTGTTGAGAGCCTTACCAACGACAGCCTAAGATGGCTGGCCAAGGGAACATCTCCCATGTGGTCTGAAAATGGGATTTTAAAAAAATAGCAAACAGCCCTCAAATGGTAAGGATATATAGGGATATATCGGGATGACGATGTGACGATGACGATCAATGAATTTGGAGGTGTTCGCATTATTTGCAGACAAACCCATGATTGCTACATCCTTTTCCTCGCAGGGCATGGGGATGGATCACGCAGATAGCACCCCCGCTGCCAACTCCTGGGTCAGTTGGTGGGTGCTGTTGCAAGAAAGCCTGGGAGCTGTGGTTTGAAAATGTTTGAAACACACATGCTGGCGATTACAATCACTAGGTTGATCCCCAAATGCCCCCCCCCAACAAAAAAAAAGAGCAGGGAAACCATAGTTTTAACATGTTTTAACCATCCAAATATAGGACTAAACCCCACAGATTCTCCCTTGCACCCTGGGACACCATCCCTGGATATCCTGTCTCATCTCTTGGCCAGAATGCTGTCCACCTTGTCCTGGGCACAAGGATGCGGACCAACCAGGATGGGGTATGTCAGTTAGCATGTTGCTCCCCCGTCTTTCTCATCTAACCGCCCACATTATTATACAAGCAAATTCTATGGGGTTAATACCAAAGACAGGGGAGCAACACCTTATAGAAAACAATAACATAAATCATAACAACAAAACAAAAAAACTCAAACAACCTAAACAATACAATAGATTATAAAAAAGACTATACCATAAATCATAACAAAAAACAATTTACTTTTTTTTTATAATTTTGAAATTATAAAATGAAATCTATGTTTGCTGTTTCTTCAAGTTCTCCAGATGCTTTGTTGTTTGTGTGTGTGTCTCTTGTAATTCTTACATTGAATTTCATAATCATCACATACAGGGCAGGTCATCCATTTTATTGTAGCATTCACTTGTTCAATGTTTTCTGCTCTATGATTTCTTCTTCTTTCATTTATTTCTTCCCTGTGTGTCCTACCATAATTTCTAGCATATTCCTTTGCCTCCTCTATATGATTGTAATAATAGTCTCTCCTCCTTTCATTCTATTTTTCTTTGTTCTTTTGATGATTAGCCCTCATATATTCCCTACATTTATCACAATTTTTGTATTTACCCTCTTCCATTTCCTTAAAACATTTAGCACACTTGACTTTAGTATCCTCCGTTACCTACTATAGATAGGTAATAACTCTTTAAGTGTCGTTCCTATCCCTTTTCCCTAGATTATAACATAACCAACAACAAAATCATAACAAACAACAAAAGAAAAAAAAACAAAACAACATAGACAATACAATAGATTATAAAATAGTCTATACCATAAATCATAACAACAATAACAAAATCAAAACAACCTACTACAAACAAAATACAAACAAAAACAAAGCAACAGAACAACAATAACAAAATCCTAACAACCTACTATTATTAATAAAACCAATAACACAAACCATAACAACCTCATCATATCAACCCATCTCATCCATCTCATCCGTAAAAATTATATAATATAATAATATAATCATCATAATTGTATTGAATAATTTTCATCAAAGCATATACAAATATACATCATCTTACCTTATCTATGTCATAGGTGTTATTTCTAGAAATCATAATTGCTAGAAATATTCCTGAAAAATAATTGCAACATAAATTTAACAGAATTATTTTATCAAATTTATGGGGATAACCAACACAATTGTCATAATCATTTATTATGAATATTATGGGATTTATTACCACAGTCTCTCCCTATAGGGGAAGCCTCAGCCCCTAGCCAATATACTATCCCACCCCCCAGCATACATACCATCATACATACAAACTAGCATATCACCACAACAGCATCACATCTTTCTCAATCTCAAATCTCTTTATATAATTACCGCAATTACCATGCCCAAACCGCCCTTTATGAACTTGTTGATGACCATGTCTTCTTAACCTCAGCGCGATGTAAATGGCACAGCAATTGAAACTTTTGGGGCGAAATGGAGTGAAAGAGATTGTGTCTTTGGGGCTTCTCCAAACCGGGCTCCGAGTATTTGGGAGTTGTTGCCTTCTTATTAGGCATGAATGTGCTGAATGTCAAGCTTGCGAAGGCTCGTTGGCATGAATGCTCTATTGAAACAATGTCCAATTCCGACTTGACACCCTCAAACCTTCCTACCTACAGACCGTTTCAATCATAGAAGCAGCTGCTAAGAGCACTGTTTTGCAAGTCTCCATGCTAGCGAGAGCAAGCAGTGTCAAACGACTAGGCATCAAGCATCTTTCTGCTCAGCCTCATGCCCCTTCATCACCAAAATTGATGAGCAACAGGCGAACCAAGTCGCACTGATGGCGAAGCAAGGCTTCTCACACATGTTCATCGTCATGAAAAATTGGAGAGCAATTGGCGAGAGAAAAGTGATGCCTGTGTCATCGACACCAACGACTGCAAACGTTGCAGTAATCGTTACAGGGGGGGTAGCAGCAGACGTGTCTCGATTTTCCTGTCATCGCGCCGCCGACTGTGCTGTTGGTGTCTGTAGCAGCGCTCAATATGGCAAGCGACAAAAAAAGGATTGGCGCCATGAACATGCCGACACCCCAAGAGCTAAAAAGCGCGCCCGAGTGGTTTGAGTAAAAAAAAACTGACAAATGACACAAGATTTCAAGCTCAAACTGAAAGAGTTAATTTCTGTAGCTTTCCAATTGGGAATGTTAAAGGTGCTCAAATTGAAACAAATTCCAAGGTCAAGCTCTCCAAGAACATGTGGCTTCAAACCTCTGACTGGCATATTCCCAACAGCTGAGCGCCCCGACAACAGGATCAAGAAGAGATTGATGACGAAGCCATGGCGGGGCAGAAGGAGAAAGGGACATAGAGTAATCCCAGCCAATGACCCAGTCAAAGACAAAATCACGGGAAAACAAATGAAGGACAAAGCACAAAACGCCGAAACCAAAAGAGCAAATCAAATCAACCATCTCATGGTTGCATCAAGTAGGCATAAGTAAGAAAAACAAATGCTTACAAGGCTTTCTAAAAACACTAAATCTTTAAAAGTTCGTGCCTCATCAACAATCTTGGGTAATCAGTCAATTTGTAATATTTGTGGTTCAACTTTTCTGCAATCTCTTGCACAACATAATAACCTTTCAGCCAGTGGGAAGTTCTTTCTTTCTCTGTAATTGCTTTCTTTCTCATTATCTTTACTCGGTCTCCTACTTCTAAAGAAGGGTATATTCTTTCCTTCTTTGCTTTTACTGAAACATTAAGTTTTGCTTTAAACTCATTCCTTTCTTTCCTTGCTTCATTTGGGGTTAGTCCAGTAGCACTATGGACGTCCTTGTTGTTGTATGTTAGTAAAATCTCGGTTATGTAATCTATCCATTGAATATTATGTTTTCCCTTTTTCTCATCATTCTCAACCCGTTTAAATAGTTTATCCTTAAACGTCCTAATAAATCTTTCAGCGAACGCTGGATGACCTCTAGTTCTATAAAGTTCAATCCCTTCATCTTTTACTCGTTGTTTGAAGTCGGCACCACTTATACTACCTTCATCATCAGTGTATATGATTTTTGGTTTTGCCTTCATCTTCTCCAGCCCTTCCATTGTTCCAGCGATGACATCAGCTGGGTTTTTGCTTTTAATAGGGACTACTACAGCATATTTACTTAATACATCAATCATTACCAACCCAGCTTTAAACTTGTGTGCTGTTTCGATATCATTTTTTGAAATGAAAAACAAATCAAGTTGAAAAGTATGGTTGTTGTGGGGGGCTACAAAACTGTTCTGACCCTTTTGCTTTCTCTTAATCTCAACATTCTTTCTAAAGAATCTTCAACATCTTTCATAGTAATAGTTTTATCTTTCTCTCTGGCATCTTTCAAAGTTGTAGCCTTGCTTCCATATCCGCTTCTATCAAAATAAATATCACTAATAACCTTCTGCTCATTATCAGCCATTATATTTATAATGATATTTTATTTGAAAAAGCACAATTACAAGACACACATAAGCCTATACAATTATCCTTGAAGTGAGCAATATTATTATTAACCTTTTGGCAACTAATATTTGATGAAATCCTGCCATCTTCAAAATCTATCACCAACGGTTCATTACAATTCTCACACTGGGTATTCATCAGGTTCATCAACAACTCAACATCTACATAATCCCCATCTTCTACATCTCTACCTGCTTTCTTGTCGTGCTCTTCATAGTTCATAATTTTATTCTTAAAATATGTCTCTGCTCTTATCTTGCTCATATCATTCTCATCAGCATCATATTTATAAAACTTAACTCTATTTAAATCTCTTGCTCTGGTAATTGCTGTCCAATACCAGTTCTTGCTACAATACCATTTATTCCAGTCATATATCACAATGTCATCATCTACGCTACATCCTTGCTTACTATGACAAGTGTAGCAGTAGGCATATACAAAATGTTTTCTCAACAACTTCAGTTCTATCCTTTGCTTCTCATTAGTAGCCACATTTTCTAAAACCACATCATTGCCAACAATATTCACAATCCTAAATTTAAAATTCACATTAAACTTCTTCCCTTTAGTCTTAATATACTTCCGGCATATCACTTCCTCACCTATCACATATTCATCTTCTATTCCTTTCATTTTTCTCATTCTACTGCTTACTTCTCTACAAGTTTTGTTAGTATAAGCAATGTTGTCTTCACATATCTCATTGCCATCACTCCATCCGAAGTATTTTTCAATGACATTAAGTATAGGTTCATTGTTCATAATCATACCTTTTATATCATAAAGTTTCTTTCTGTCTTCTTCAGTCTTCAGCCTCTTACACTCATACAATTTATGTTTTTTTCAAAAATCAAATTAATACAATGGTCAGCATATTTCTCAAATGACATTACATTGCTTACCCTCTCTGGGTTTTTCAACTGGTTAGTGTCTCCAGTTGCCACTACATTTTTATCAGGGTTGTTCTTACAGAAGTCCCATATTAAAGAACACTTGCCCACATTGTGGAAGATGATTTCATCAAAAACTATGACATCAAAACCAGAATAATCAAACTTGTCTAGCCTCTCATCACCATAAGATATACCAAAAAACTTATTATATAATGGTCATTGCTTCTGCTCCACATTCTTGCTTTAAATTATTAGTGGGGACTACAAACAAGACTTTATAATTTCTGTCCTGTAAATGCTTACATATATAACTCTTACCTGTTCCTGCCGCTTCCCCTCTTATCATCAACCTCTTATTAGTAATTATATGTTCATCTATGATTTCATCAGTGTTCCATTCATCCTTCACTTCGCCGGTCATATTCCGATATTCAGTTATATCACATAAAATGCTGGGTTGTTTAGAAAATGCCTTGCTAGGGAAATTCAATTTATCAGACCACCTCCAGTCTCCAATCTCACTACCAAATTTCAACACCTCCTTTGCCTGACCTAAATTACATTTATCTATAACAAAGGCATCGGTTTTTA